ATCGATATCTTAATATGTTATAAATAATACACAATACTTTGGTACAATATAAAACTCAATAAAGTTTAAAAAAAATTTCTAATTTTATCTATACGATTATACCAAATAAATATATATCATAATATGTACTTAGAACAAAATAAATCTGATTGGATTCAGTCATTAGTGGTAATTGTATGTGTATATTAAATATTTATTATATTGATATGATAGGTAGTAATTTGTTTTGAATTTCACAATATAACTTTATATTTATACGAGATAAATATTTCTATTTTAATGACATTGAACATAAACAAAAACGTATAATGATTTATTTCCATATTTAACCCGTAAGTGGTACGACACTTTAAGAAGTAAACCAAAACAAAAACTGCAGCGGTCTATGGTAGTATGGTCTACGGGTTAATTATTCAAATAATAAATCGTTATATGTAAGATTGTTTATTTAAGTTCAATAAGTTGAAATGTATGGCGTAGAGTCTAGGAGAATAATAATGAATAATAAACTAACAATCTTATATTATGCTTACCTGCAACTACCTAACCACATAAATAATACATAAGTAATACCACTGCCTAAAAAATATATTAAGTGAAGTAGTACACAATATGATTGGAAATATATTAAACAAATTTCGGTTAATAAAAAAAAAAATACGGCCTCAGTTGTGAAATTGTATTTTGTATTTTATATATTATAATTTATAACTATATGATATTAAAAATGTAAATATTTTTAAATTCGGCGGCCAGTGATAAATGTTATTTGTTGTTTATTCCAAGCCAAACTGATATGATATTTTCATCCATGAAAGTGATATAAACCGTTTTACTGTCTGGTCGTCGGTTTCATGATTTCTCTCTCTAAACGCAGTCCATTTATTTATAATAATATGATCCAAGGTTGTGCGTGGTTGCATTAATTGTTCTTTGTTCGAGACAAAATACAATTTAGGGTTATCGCCACATGCTCTTATTATCGCCACATCTCTTTTCTATGCCACATGCTTTTAAAAATTTCACCACCTGCCGAGTGCCGGAGTGTCTATGCTCTTTCGATCGTTGGAAACTTTTAACGAAGATTCCCGTATCATCAGTAAATTGTCGCAGCCATCGTAGTACGATTTACAATCTTTCAACTACCAAAATACCAGATCACGTTTACGGGATCCGTGGGAGTACGCGAGCGGTGTCCAACGGGTCATATTGCAGTGTTAGTACAAAATATTATACCTATTACTATTGATTATAAATACTACTAGTATTTATAGTCGATGCTATTACCTATTAGCCAAGTCACTGGACACTAACTATAGGCACTGTAGGTATTTGAAAATATTTTTTGTAGTAGTTTATAGTGCCTAGGTACCATACTGCCCTGCTAAGCAAGAGTGCTTTAACTCGAAAAAAATTTAAAAATGAGTTACAGTATCTGATGGATTAATCAATTTTACACAATATTTGTAGAAAAAATACCCCTAAAACTATATTGAATAGGCTATAATCTCAATTATCATTCGTTGAAGACACCATAATATGTAACAAAGTAAGTTAGAAGTACTAAGTAATTTTTTTCCGAAGTAACGTCAATATATTATGTTAATAGTTTCTAAATTGTTATCTTCATGATAATTATTTTTAAAGTTTATTATTTTATATGGCCAATAGGTATTTTAAGAGAAAATGTCTTATATTGCTAAGTAATAACAAAAGTGACTTTATTTGTATAATAAGTGAATAAAACTTTTAAATCAATATTTCATTGCATTACTTGTCAAAAAACTATAAAGGTGGATATGTTTTATACTAAGTCAAATGAACTAACAAATACCTAACAAAGGTACCTACCTATAATAAAACAAAAAAACAACCAAATTTTTCTCAAACTAACATATTTTTTTTACGCCACTTCTGCTTAGCAGGGCAGTATAATAATGTAATTTTATACAAAATAAATTATAACCTAAATATAACGTTTTTTAAAGGTGACTACTTTCTGTTGTAGTTAATAGTTAGTGAGAAATAACAGATTCATCTCGGCTACTGTCTTAATTGTTGAAATTATATTTTGAATGTATACTATATTATATTGACGTGTGACGCTTTAATACCGAATGAGTTGCAGTTATTGAATTTTGTATCATTTTACAGATTTTACAACAGTATATGACTGTACACTTAGATGCACATGAAAATAATATGACAACTATCTATGAGATACAGAGTGAATTTCATGGATTGAAAACTGGAACACACATCAATAGCAATTTAAGGAATTCAAAGTGAGTTTATATTTTATGTAACATACCGAATGGTTGATTTTTATGATTTTGATTTCAATTTGATTAGGTATAATATATTATTATGCAAGTAGGAGTGGCAGCTAGTGCTATGGGTTCCATAGGCATGTGCCCTACCTAAAATATTGAAATAAATAAATAAATATAATAATTTATATTAAATTAAAATATAATGTATTATTTCCATAGTTCTGTAAAAGTATTTAGTTAATATATTTGCCAATATTATCGAATTAAAAAAATGTGTTCAAATGCGGGTTTTCTTATAACAACACGTACATCAAGCGAAAGGCACATAATATCCTATCCGTTATGTCCCAATTTACGGCAAGTAGATTTCTTCCACTTATCGATAGGAATTATTATGGCGTTGTCGGGCACAAACTGATTGTCCTGATTCTATTTTTATTACGATTTATTATATTCATCATAATTTTGTTTTTATTAAATATTTATACATGATATAAGTATATAAATAATAATAATATATTTATGTATCATATATTCACGGCATAAGTGTGTATTAAAGGTTTTTTTTTTTTTTTTAAATAATACTTAATAGTATAATACAAGACTTGAGTTAAATTTAAAACCAACATAAATTAGAGGAAGTAACTCGTGATATAGAGAAGGGGGAAATGTTTGAACTTAAAATGCTTATAAAAAAAAAATTGTAATTATGGATTTTTAATTTTTTTCATCTGCCATTGAAACAATGTACTAGGACCCTTCTATTAAATTTTCAAGCTTCTTCAACCAACAAATAAAATTTTATTGATATTTATAGAAAAAAAAACTAAAAAAAATGGAAACCGAAAATGTCTGATAACATCTAAAAATAAGTCAAAATATTTGGAAAATGTAATGGTTTATAGAAAATACTAATATGAACATTCAGTCAAAATGTCATGTATTAGCGGTCATTTGTTTAAGAGTTGAACCAAAAACCAAAATCGATTTTTTTAAAAACAGATTTTGCATACAAATCCCCGTTTTCCTTAATTTTTAGGAATAATAAGAATAGGAATAATGTTATAAAAATCTTAAAATTAGTCTAAAAATATTATTTTGTATGCAATAAATTATATTCAAAATTGTAAAATGTTTCAAGTTCCTATAATTAATATTTATTTAATATGGTATAAATCTACAACATGACTAAAATATTGTTATATTTTGTTTAAAATGTTATTATACAATTTTGTCAAAATTAAAACTTTAAATGTCTATGTATTTTTGATAATTTTAGAATGCTCTGACATCAACTTAGACGTAATTTTTTTATAATTATTTAAAGTTGAAATATTGACAAAATTACAAAAATGTTGAAATTTTTTTTAGTTAAAAATCTATCAAATTTTCAAATTTTATATCTAAGGATTCACAAATTAATGTAAAGTTTTTCAAACGTTGGTCTTACAGCTACCTATAAACATCAAATATACCTACATATTATGCACAATTTTTTTTATAGATATTTCAAGATCAAATTATAAAAAATCCGCTGCTGGAAAGTTAAATTATACTTCATAATATAACTAGGTATAGTATATATAGTATATTTTTTATTCAATTTTTATAATATGTATAAATGTTTTCATTAAGTATATATTGCATAGAGAAACAATGTTCGATATTTTATACAATGCTAAATATTAAACCATTGACAAGAGAACACGCTACCAGTCACTAACAATATTATTTTATTTATTAATAAGTAAAATTAAATAGTTTAATGTTATTACTCATATTTTATTGTTTGACATAATAATATTATAATTATTTATTGTTGAACATGAAAGATTATTACTTGATTATTATAATGATTAATTTGACACTGGTGATTGTGTACAATAATTATTAATATGTAGAATTACTACACTGTTTACAACAAATTGTTCCATGTGCCACAATTTGCAACCTCCCCGGGAGACTAGGACATATTTTATAATACATTGTTTCTCTATACAAATAATATACTAAACGGTCTAAATAAATTTTTGAAATTAAAACATTTTTAGTGATCAACATTTTAGATGAACAATATGGAACATTTAAATTCAAAGTGAGTATATTTTAATAAAAATATTTTACACTTGTACCTAATCGTTAATATAATAAAATAAATTAATATTAATATTAAAAAAATATCTTAATTAATTTATACATCAAAATAGCATTGATAGGACTTCAAAAATTCTTGTATATTTAAGTTTTTCTATACTTTACATAAAAATTATTATATACAATGGTAAATTTATATTTGTTTTGTTTAGATACAAGAATTTTCCTAAATTCGATAAAATATTAAAAGTGTCACTTGTAAATTGTGATCATCTATTGAAATTTCATAATAAACAAATAATCAAAGAAGAAATGAATGAATTTGAAGACGTTAATAACACAACCGAAGAAGATGATTTTCTGTAAGTACCTCACTACTAAACTTTTGAGTTTTAATAATTATGATATGTATTGTGTACTATAATTCAATAACAGGGGCGTCTTCAGGTCAATTCCATGGGGGGGCGAAAAAATTATACTCTTAAACACCACTTTGATAAACAAAAGACTTAAACCCATATGTTAGGTGTAATATCGTACAAACAGATAAATGTATTCTTTTACTTTAGGTACCTAGGTACATATTATACAATTATAAAATAGGTAAATAATAATAATTCATATATGAGTAAATTATATAACAAACTCCAAAGCTCGTTTATTGGAAGCAGCAAAACGATCAATAATGTTGTCTATATTGATCGGTTCATTCCTATGAATGTTTGAAAGCGCTAATCCAGTCAGTCTCTCCTCATTCATTCGGCTTCTTAACCAACTTTTTAATCTAATAAACAATACACCAAAGCAATAATAAGCAAAAGCAGAAGCAGAAGTAATAGGCAAAAAATAATATTTAAGTTTGTAAATTAAATGCATTCATTAGTGATGATTGATTTACTGCAATCAATATTAAAGAATAGTAATGAAAGAGAAGTTAAGCTATTAGTATTTTTAAGCATAAGTAGAAATATATGTGAATATATTAAATACTTAATAAAAATAAAAATTGTGTGTTTAAAAAAAGTATATATAATTTAGTATAACTGACAAGTGTAATTGATACCTGCGAAGAGTTGAGAAGCTGCGTTCTGCAGTTGCTACACTAACTGGAAGAGTGCATAATATAAAAAGAATTTTTCTAATACAAGGGAAAACAATATCAGGACATTCTTCGATAGCATTGAATACATTGTTTGGAATTTGTAACCCTAAAATAAAAGCAATCTAATTAAATGTACTTTACATTTTCAATTTTGATTCTAAAAATATATCATTATACCTTTGCAAATTATTTGTTCCCACTTTGTTTTCCATAATTCCATCTCACCCTTGAGAGAATATGTATTGAAACTTATAAACGAGTAATGTTTCAGTAATGTTTCAACCAAAGTATTTTCAAGATCCTGAGAGATCTTTATGACATTAATTGGAACCAGTTGCATAAGTATGAAAATAGTTTTATTTTTTTCATTCAAGAACCGTGCTTTTAAATCTTCTATGACATTTTCAAGAATAGGAATAAACAGTACACGTCTATAATATTCTTCAGGACAAGTTGCAGGTGTGTTGGATCTTTGTGTTTGACGTATAGTGATTCTGGGTAATTTAATATCAATATCAAGATCAGTCATGACAGTCTTACTTTCTTCAAAAATATTATGAAATATATTTTCACAATTTGTACGTTTGTTCTCTATTGTTGTTATGATTTACGACTTCACTTGGAACCACTTCATTGAGATGTGTAATACTGTCATTATTTTTTTTTTGCTTATTTAACCACGATACTAGACAGGATCCACTCCTTTTATTATTCATTTTTATATATCTAAATCTTAAGTTTCAATACTTCAAAACTACAAAAGTTCAAAACACTTCGAAACAAATTAAACAGTAACGCACAATATAAATATTAAATAATATTATCACTAGGAAGTAGATAATTCAAATTTTAAATATCACATTAACGTAATATGATAACATAATTTAATCTTTCTATCACAGTTTCAGATGTAAATCAACGGTCTGCATAATCAGTGTAGCCAACAAAAATGTAAAAACAAATTGAAATATAAAAAAAATTATTAAACAATTTTTACTTAAAAATTATGGATATTATATGAAACAAAAACAGACAATTACACGTCTTACGGGGGGGGGGCGTTCGCCCCCCTCGCCCCCCCCTCAGGGACGCGCCTGTTCAATAAGGTACCTAATACCTATGTAAGCTAATTAAAATTATAAGCATTGTGTAGTTTGTTTTGATTAAAAATTATTTTTATAATATATTGAATACATTTTAAACAGTTGGAGTAAATTAGGTGCACTGTGTGAACAAGTCTAACCTAGATAGACAATTTGTCTATGGTGGATTGAATACTACATTTGTTGTACTTTGGTTTAAGTGTATTAACATGGACAAATTAGCTTAGGTACACATCTAAATGGGAAAAAACAATATCAACAACACAGATTTTTAATTCAGTTTAGTGAGTCATTTCATAGAAAATAATTTCAAAGCATCTGTGTAAAAATTCATAAATGGCATCATGGGTATTCCTTTTTCATTGCTCAATTTTCTGCAGACCAGGGTTAATTCTTTATAATTTTGCGGGAGAACCATTCTATCCAACAGTGAAAACCTTATTCGAAATAATTCATTGACGTGGGTGCATAAAGTTTGCAGTGCAAAAAGCAACTGTCATTTTTATATAGTAGATTATATTATATTTATTAAGTGCATAAATAAGTTGGTGCAATCCTTGAAGAGATTTTTATGTTTTAATTAGATTTTATTGCTTATTCACACAACTTAAAGATAAAAATAATGAAAATTGGTATTATAAAAACCTTACATTCTTTGATTAGTTGAAAATAAAAAAATACCCTAATCTAATTGTGTTATTATTTATATTTTTTAGTCAAAAAGCTACACAAGAAAACAATGCTGTTAAGAAGAATGCTATTTCGCAAATAAAACATCAAAATATTCACAAAAAAAATGAGAAAGGAACTATTCAAATAAAGTAAGATGATGCTTAAGACGAAATATTTTATAGGTATTATGTACATTAAATAGTGTCAGTACCAAATAAATAGTTGACAATTTACTACATCTTATTCGGAAATTTAGATAATACTTTCATAAGATACTATCTTAATTTATTTCATAGCTACCATTATAAAAAGGTAATCAGTATGGCTTACAGTTGTTTTTACTTCATAATAATTTTTTAACGACTAATCATAGTATTTGCTTATCAAGAATGTTATCATTATCTCATTATGTAATCAATTAAAATACAGTCCACTGCACTTAAAAATTTAAAACCTAACCTTCAATTTAAAAAATGTCAGTTGATGTCGTTCGTCGGTCTCGTACGCGTTACATTTGCGTTTCCGTCTGTGTCGTGCGTTTTACAATCGTCTAATCGGCTTTCCGTCTATTAGTAGTGACATTATTGATTCAAGATTTAGGAGAAGTTGAAAACTCTACAAAAAACTCTCTCAAACAAGGAAAAGCTGATAAGGAAAAAATTACACATGGTCACCACATCGACAATGGAGGGTCTGGCGAGTCACGAAATAAAAGGGCATTTGGAACTTTGCAAAAAGTGCATTTAAAATGTATGCAAATGCACACGATGAGGTGTCCTTGTTGGTAGATGACTTTGAGGTTGATTTTATGATTGACGCCTTGGAAGAGGTATCTCATACGTTCATTAAAATTAAGGGGATTTTGCAAAGTACATTAGATTTAAGGCAAACTACACATGAACCTCAAAACAAAAATACACTTAGCGAACAAGGGCAACAATCCATCAGGCTACCTTCCATGAGTCTGCCGTCATTCACGGGAATATTGGAAGATTGGTGTGCTTTCCATGACCAATTTTCATCTATTATTCACAATAATAAACACATTGACAACACCAGAAAAATGCACTATTTAAAATCATGTTTATCACGAGAAGCGGCTGATGTAATTGTGTCATTATCATCGACTGGTAGCAATTATCTGGAGGCCTGGTCGTTAGTGACAAACCGTTATGATAATGAACGTCTTATTCTACAAGTACACTTACAACATTTGTTCAATCAACCACACATTCAAAGTGAAGCTGTTAGTTCTTTGAAGGCGTTAGTTGATACAACAAATAAACATCTTAGAGCATTAAAAGTATTAAAACAACCCACTGAGTCTTGGGATACAATTGTAATTTACCTAATATCATCCCGTTTACCAAATTAACTCAGAAAATCATGGGAAATTGTATCATCTGCCTATGAGTGTCTATCTTGGTCACAAATGTGTAAATTTATGGAGAAAAGAATACATGTGTTAGATTTATTACAGCTACAATCATCCAGTACACCCAGATCTAAGCTTACCAACAAATGTAACAGTCGAGCAACAACTCATGCTGTGACTGCAGCACAAGATAATAAGCAGCCGTGCAATATTTGTTCACAGCATCATATTATTTATCAGTGTAATTTATTTATGAAGTCAACACCGAGTGAGTGACATGCATTGGCTAATAAGGCCAAATTGTGTATAAATTGTCTACGGACCTCACATTCTTCCAGCCAATGCTCTTCTGATAAAACATGTAAAGAATGTGGTTGTAAACACCATACACTTCTACACTTTAGTGACTCTAAGGGCGATAAAAATACTTCTGAAGTGCCCACGTCGACTATCAATACACAACCATCGGCATCTAGTAGGATAGACACTGTGGCAGTCAATCATGGTGCCTTAAGAGAAAAGTCAACTGTCATATTATCCACAGCAGTGGTGCGAGTACACGGATCAAGTGGACGGTCAGAACTATGCCGCGCATTAATAGACACTGCTTCAGAATCACATTTTAGGCCTAGTTCACATGAGAGCATTAAACGCGCGTTTCGCTAACGCGCGTTTAGAAAATTTACACAGGATGAATGACGACGCGAGTTAACGCCTTGCAACGCGTCGGAAAGCTGTAAACGCGCGTTAAAATACAGCTGCATTCATTATTGTAAACGCGCGTTTGGCTAACGCGCGTTTAACGCTCTTCATGTGAACCTAGCCTTATTACTAAAGCCTTAGCCAGGCGATTAGGTTTAAAAACATTGCATCAGCCAATGATAATTGATGGTGTATCAAATTCTTCTACAACCACATCTCAAGTTTCAACTTTCATTATTTCTCCTAGGACGAATGGTAAACAAATTACGTTAACTGCCTTAGTGTCTCCTAAGATAACTGTTGATCTACCCACTGTAACAGTGGATGTTTCACAGTGGACTCATCTGGAACAGATTGAGTTAGCAGATCCAACATTCCATGTGCCCAACAAAATCGACTTACTCATAAGTGCTGAATACAGTCTGGATATAATGTTAGATGGTAAAATACAAGGACCCAAAGGTACGCCTTCGTTACACAACTCTATCTTTGGGTGTGGGTTATAGTATGTGGGAAATTATCTAAACCTCACAATGAACTATCAATGTTTAAGTCGGTCACGTGTTGTACTACTACAGTTGAATCACTTGTGAACCGATTTTGGGAACTGGAAGAGGTACCTTACATGCCTTACATGTATGTCCAAAGAAGACCAACAGTGTGAAAAGCACTTCGTTGAGACACTTACTCGAGACAGCTCTGGCTATGTTATTACCGCAGATGTTCGATAGATATTCCGACAAATCTTAGTACACCCCGCCGATCGTGTCTACCAAGGTATTGTCTGGCGTCCAAATGAATATAGTTCAATAAGAATTTATACCTTAAATACGGTGACCTATGGGCTTATCACATCACCATGCTTTACGAGTCCTGAAGAAATTGGCCTACGACGAGCAAGGGACTCATCCTGAGGCATTTTCGGTGCTACAGCGAGATTTCTATGTAGATGAGGTAATGACTGGACAAGATGACGTTACTGCCACAATCAATCTACACCAGGAGCTGCTTTACCTAACTCGCCTTAAGTGGGTTTGAATTACGTAAGTGGGCCACCAACTGCGAGGCAGTTTTAACGCACATTCCTATAGCACTAAGAGCCACTCAACTAACGCTGATCGACCACATGGATCCGTCAATCAAAATATTGGGTAGGTATATCTTGGAATGCTCAACGAGATACGTTCTCATTTCATGTTGAATCTTCCAAGGTTGGTGAAACATTTACTAAACGTTTATTACTTTCGGAAATTGCGAGGATTTTTGATCCATGTGGATGGTTAAGCCCACTTGTGATCGTGGCGAAGATCATTATGCAACACCTGTTTAAGAACAAGTTGGATTGGGACGACCCGCTGCCTGACACACTGATCAAATGGTGGTCGGATCATCGACCTTCCTACAGTGCTCTTCGCTCCTTTGAATTACCACGGCATTGCAATGACGAACACACTCAGGTAACCACATATAGTCTGCACGGTTACAGTGGCAGTTCGGAACAGGCTTATGCTGCTACTCTTTACCTAGTGTCGGTGTTTCCTGATGGTCGATCATCATCACATTTAGTTCTGTCTAAGACCAGAGTCGCACCTCTTAAGACCCAATCATTAATACCAAGGCTTGAGTTGTGTGGTGCTACGTTGTTAGCATCCTTGACCAAACACCTACTAGAGGCTC